TCATTAATCTTTATATAACTTAGCTTGTCTTCACTTAATCCAACATGGTGTTCACCTCTCAACAATAACTAGCAAGAAAGGGGTCAATAAACTTGGAGACCCTTGGCTTACACGAACTGCAATACTATTTTGTTTGGTGTATCGTGTAACGTTTGTGACATAGGATGGGGCGTTGATGAGGCCATGTCAAGTAGGATTGATGAGAGACTTTCAGACTAAGAAAAATCATGTAACTAAGGTGCGCATAATATATTAGGTGAATCCCATATTAAAATGGGAGAGGAAAGTAAAGAGCTCTGTAAGTCAAATCTCAAGTTCACGATGTATATGTGTTTTTTGGGCTCAATATGGACTTGCCTAAAAGACAAATTCGTGCGGGCCTAGGCTTAGAGCCAAGCTTGTACTCCATTACTATGATAGTGGGGCGAACCTCAATGAGTATGTTGAGTTCCTAAGGCGGTGTATGTGACGCCCATGGTGGAGGCTGGGTTGATCAGGACAAATCAAGCATGATTGACAGATTTCTAGGCTAACAAGCTTTTGAAGATGAGATGCACATGACATCTTAAACATGAGAGGAAAGTGAAGAATTTTATAAGATATGACTCAGATTTACATTATATACACACTTTAAGGCTTGATATGACATAGCCCAAAAAACAAATCCGTGCGAACCTACATCCAATACACCCCACATTATACATGCTATAGACTTTAGTTGTGACATTGAATTTCAAACATTACATCGACCAGTTGTGGGACGGACATCTCAATGAAAAAGAACAACCAAAAAAAGGATAGATGGAGAAGAGAACAGAGTTATAGACTCTGTAATCTCCACAAAGAAATTGGCAACCCTGTGATCAATTGGATGAAATTACAATGTACAATTTTTTTTTTATCCCAAGTTGGTGACCATCCAAAATAATTGACAAAAATGGATAAAATATTAACTAGCTATAGTCATTTCTTAACGGATTTTCCAAATCATTGAATTTATTATTAACTAGTTATAGTCATTTCTCAATGCTTTTCCATTCAGTATCCAATATTCACATTAGAGTCTGACTAATCTAGATTCATGCTAGCCGCTAGGTAAAGCCCATTCGAAAATAACACTTCCCACTAAAGACTTTTTCATGCTCAGAACTCAAACCCAAACCTGAAGCCGAAATGTTCTTTCTATGTGTGCTTGCGTGCTTAGATATCTATGTGTGTGACTATACCATTCTCATTAGAATTGTACTTGTCCTAGTCCTAGATATAATGTACAAGTTTTATAGATACTATAAAAAGTCAATGAAATATAATTGATTATTATTTTTTCAATAAAAGTAATAATATCCCTTTTGACAATTGCCAAAAAAGGGTTACATAATTATTAAAAATGGCCATCGCCAGTACATACATATGTTGTAATATCACTATAAAGTCTGCATCCCTTTGGTGCTCTACAACAGGTCATGCAATTTTCTGGAACCATCTTATATCCTGTTGATGGGCAAGCCATGTACATCACCCAAGGTGCACATTCCATTGTACACTCACACTCAACATAATTTATTTCCACCACCAAAACTGTTGCAAACACAAACATAATACTAGTAATTATTGGCATAAAATAATAAAATAACACTATCTTTTTGTCTCAATTTATATGTTTTACTTTTTTAGACAATTTTAAATAGAATGATATATTTCTATATTTAGTATTAATAATTTAATTTTAAAATATACATTTAATCTTTAAGTTAGACTGACAAAAATTATCTAGTGACAAAAAAGGTATTCTTCCATAGTAAAGATGAGGATTTTCATCCCCCGATGATGTATTTTTTAATTTTGTAATTTAAAAATTGATTTGGGGTAAAAAAGAATCGTTCTTTTATATATAAAACAAAAGAAGCGATGCTGACTTTCGGAGGTCGTTTTTTTTTAAAAAAAATTAACGACCTCCGGTTTGACATCACTTTTTCTAGAGCAATTTTTGACATTTTTATAACAGTGTAACTTTGTATTGAATGAAAAAAGAAAAAAAGAAGGCGTACCACACAGGAGGAGGAGAGTGAGGACACTGACTTTGCTACTAACCATATTTATTTAATTCTTTTTCTCTGTTTTTTTAATCTGCTTTGAGTATGTTATTTCTGGGAGTATTTATAGGAAAAGAATTAAATGCCAAAGATCAAGTAGTACAGTGAGATTATATTAATTTAATGTTTTAAAATAAAAAATTTTGAGAGTCAATTTGACTAGTTTTCAAACTTAATTAGATTACATTAATTCGATATTTTAAAATAAAAAATTTGAGAGTCAATTTGATTAATTTTCAAGCCATCTAGGAGATTACGTACATTAACTCCCTCCGTTTCTTTTTAGTTGTCATATTGCAATTTTTTAGAGTCAATTTAACTAGTTTTCAAACTTAAATTACATTACATTAATTTGAAATTTTAAAATAAAAAATTTTGAGAGTCAATTTGACTAGTTTTCAGACCATCTAGGAGATTACGTACATTAACTATCTTCGTTTCCTTTTAGTTGTCATGTTGCAATTTTTAGAGTCAATTTGACTAGTTTCACACTTAAATTTTATTACATTAATTCAATATTTTAAAATAATTTTTTTTATATTCAAAAATTATATGAAAAGTGCTATAAATTACAATTTTTTCATAGCAATATGATTAAAAAATATATCTTAAAATATTAGTCAAAATTCATATCGCTTAACTCTGAAAGAGGAAATTGTGATAACTTAAAAAAACGGAGGGAATCACTTGATTTTTATGGTCTAGTGTTTACCCCGTCTGTTAATTTCTATTCGGCCATCATATTAAAAATTTATATTTTTATAATTACTTGTCATTTTAGTATATTAAGGGATTGTTTTTCCCATATTTAATCTTAATATTAATTACTTATTCTCCAAATTATTTTCTCAAATCTAAAATTAAACATCAATTAATATCCATATAAAAGTATAATACTCATGTCTTATCGTTATTTTTTTAAAAAAATATGCAAAGTCCAAATTAATCAAATAAAAATATATGAATAGAGTAATTTTATTTCTAGTAATTGTTTTCAAATTACTTTAGATAACTTTACAAACCAATCCATACAAGGTTCTTTTGTTGAGAAAATGTCCAAATTTATCTTTGAGAAAAGGTAAATACCCATCTCCGGAAGTTGATATTGAAAAACAATTAAGCTTTTTCTGGCTTCAGTTAGGACGTCAATTATTTTAAAATATTCAGAAAATTGATTTCCCTATTATAAAAAGCTATCGAAATATCAACTGATCAGACTTCAGTTTACATATTATATAACCAAAATAGAACTTTTTAAAATAAAAGAAATAATATCCTTTTTTAGCATTATTTTCCAGTATATATGTAACTTGTATCACTATAAAATTTGCATCGAAATAGATATTCGTTTTTACTTATCTATTTAAGAAGAGAAAAAAAATAATGTCATCTAATTCTTAATTTATTCTTATTATTAACTAGCTTTAGTCATTTCTCAATACTTTTCCAATCATTGTTCAATATTTGTATTGAAGTCCAATTAATTCAGATTTACGTTGATTATGTTGTTGATAAGGCCCATTTGAGAGGTAACACTCCCCACTAAAACTTTTTCATGTTCAAGATTCAAACCCAAACCCTCAAATTAAGGAAGCCGAGAGGAGAGGCCTATCCTATGTGTGTGACTATAACATCCTCATTAGAATTGTAATTTCCTAGATATTACTCACTGAGCTAAATAAGATCATAGTTCACACGTGTACAAATTAATACATATCAAAGATATTATAAAAATTCATCGAAATATCAACTGATCAAACTTCAGTTTACATATTATATAATCAAAAATTAAACTTTTAAAAGTAAAGCATATTTTGGTGGTGTATCACAACATGATCAAGATCTGAACCTTAAGCAATGGCGGAGAGCCAGAATTTTTAATAAGAGGGTTCAAAATCTGAAAAGTAAATATACGAACCAATGGAAGGGGGTTCGATATCTATTACACATTGTTAATAATTCATCACCAACTTAATTATTTACTTAAGATAAGTCAAGAAAAATCTAGAATATTCCTGAGTTACAGAGAATTGAAGGAAGATCTCTAGAATGAGTATTCTAGAAAGACTAGTCTAGAAATGTTCTAGATAGGGTAGTTCTAAAATTAAGTAGTTGGAGGAATATTCTAGAATAGAGTAGAAAAATATGCTTAGTTAGATTGTTCCATCACCTCCTATAAATAGTGGTGGTCCATTTGAGTTGTAAGCAACTAAGCAATAAACCAAGTAACAAAGCAAGTAAGTAAGAAAGCAAGAGAGCAAACAAGTGTGTGCTCAAGTAGAGAGTGTTGCTGAAGCAAGCAACAAGTGTGATCAAGATTGAAAGACCGAAGTGAGTCCTTACTTTGATATAATAAAATTCAAGTTATGAGAAATCGATTGTGCCCGTTATCTCCCACCAAAAATATTCAACAAGTGGTATCAGAGCCTGGTGGATAAGAGCGAGACAAGAACTCAAAGAAGATCCTACAAGCTATTGTTAGAGGCTACAAGTCGTGAGGCACTTATCAATGGCGAATTTCTCAAGCACTCTCAATTGCGTTGAGAAGCTGAACGCAAGAAACTACTGATCATGGAGCATGAGAATGCAACATTACTTTCTCGGCCAAGAATTATGGGATATCATCGGTGGATCAGACACCACACCACCAATAGATAGACGGTTAAAAGTAGAATTCTTGACCTAATTCAACTTCAAAAGTTAGCTTATGAGTGTGTGTGTGGGGGGTGGAGGGGGGGATTGTGAAGATCATTTAAATAGTCTAAATTCTCCTCCTTATATTGATGTGGGACTCACGGCTTACGTCTGAAACTAGAAACCTAGTGCATGAACAATTTAATATTGAGAAATCATAAATTGGGATTAATCTGACTTTGATACCATACTAAACAACTTTAAAAACAAATGTTTAGACAAACACTAAAAATCCATTACTTATATATAATATTGGTCATCTGAGTAAATCATAAACTCAGAATTTATTTTAAACACTTATATGTGATCATAATTTATTAGAAACTATTAATTTATCCCCTTTGATAAATCTCAAAGGTGATTTATTAGTTACATATTGCAGAGCCATCTCTACGGAAAAGTTGGCATCCCCTTCCTCTTGCTTGGCAACAGTTGATGCATGTTGGACGAAGTATTGTGCTTCCTGAAGAGGAACAAGTCATGTAATCCACATTTGGCTCACAAAATTGAGGACAAATCTGAGCTTCCACATAATTGCTTCCCACTAGAAAAACTGTTCCAAACACAAAAAAAAAAAATCCATTTAAAATGTACATAAATAGTACATGAGATAATGATAAAAAAACACATATGAAGTATCATTCTTTTGTGAGTTTCCTTAAATAAATCATCAGGGGTTTATCGTACTTGAACTATCATTAACTATTTATTATATCACACTTCAACTATAAGTTATTCCCTTTTCCTAGCTATCTGAACAATGATGGTATTTTAGGTATGAAAAGTGAACAACTGATAGTTGATAATTGATAATAATTCAAGTAGGAAAAGTGAACGCCTCATAATGAAAAACTCGCATACTTCATGTGTTTTTGACCTTTTAAATTCTAATAAATTAATGGCAAAAATTTATGAAGTAGTAACTATTTTATTGAGAGAAAAAAGGAAGATGAATGTTAGGTAAAATTAATCATACCACATAGGAGGAGGAGAGTGAGGACACCAACTTTGTTACTACCCATGCTTGATTGTTTGCTTTTATTTTCTGATCTTCTTGGAGGATGTATGTTTTGTCTTAGACTTAGGGAGTACTTATAGCAAGCAAATCTATGTATTTTCTTTTTTTTTCAAAAAAATATTGTGGACAAAATAAATAGTAGGTCAATAATGGACAATTGTAGAAGCCAAAAAATTCAATTGCTTATAAATATGGTTGTAAGATATATATGCATATCGTCAAAGAGATTAGGTCAGTGTGAAATTAATTTGTATGTGAATTGTGGACTGAGTCTAATTTTAAAAAAAAATAAAAAAGCCATTCAAAATCATTTAAAATACACCCGCAATGACCAACTTAATTGAGCAGGTGATCTTCCGAATGAAGGATTCCATTTTCAAAATTCTCCTACATATTTTCTTGGTCAAGCTTACATCCCAAGACTTGTCTAATGCGATTTAGATACATTTTTTAAATCTAATTGCAACTAGATATTCCACTTTATAGTTTGAAGCCGCCGGTCCTTTATATTAGCCGTATCCATTTCTACCATGAACTACAAAACTTGCACGAAAGAACAAAGACTTTTTCAATAGTACTTGTTTTTTCAATTAATGAGTTTGAATTCATAATTTTTTCAATAAATGAGTTTAAGTCTAAAGTCAACAATCTATTAGAAATAAATCATTTTTCATAAATAAAAAAAAAACAAAGTAGTTGAAATTATTTTTAAAAAAACTAACATATTGCATATATAACATATCAGTTTGCTTTTTAATCATTATTAAAAATAAAATCAACCCAATTCAAATATTATCAATTTATTTAACTGTTTGATTTTTATTTTTTTTATTTATATTGGTTTTTAATCAAATCGTAAATATTTCTAGCTTTACATTAACCTGATGATGATGTAAAAATATGTACGATACGTTTGTGTCAATGTCGATAGATTAATTAAAATGTGTACGAATTATTGAAGAGATGAAACTAGAAAATTAGACCGAGTTATGATTCATTAATCACCAAAATATTCCGCATAGTCGGCAAATTGAGAATTATACTTTTGTTCACTGGAAATTACACTTGGATCGTTTCAGAGTTGGGTTAATTATAAGAAAAATTACCTAAATAGATATTTTATTTTACCATGATTTAAAAAATAAATTATTATTTAATTTTTATTTTTTAAAAAAATCTCTTCTTGGATACATTCCTTTCCTATGTAACTGGATGTCCTATTCCATTTCTGATACATTTCTATCCCCTCTCGGGTACATCCCTTCTCTCTCATATACATTCCTCCCCTATGTATCCGGATGTCTGATGTATCCGGAAGTCCAATAATGTATCCAAAATTCATAAATTTTAAGAGATTTTTGTAATTTGAAAAGACTATGAAAATAATGTAATTAGCTCTTAACACTCGAGATTTATATTAATTATACCCAATAATATTATTGTTATATTAATATTATAACCTTGTAGAATACTGTATATTAGGCAACATGACGTAAGTATTTTCAAAATTCCCCCCTTACTTTATAGGAAAAAGATATACATCCCTAGCATATATACTAATTCTACCTATATTTCAAATAATTACGTATCTTACTACTAATTAAGAGTTTTCTATCATATATTAAGATACACCTAGATAATGTATTTTTGCTACCAAATACAATAAAAATAGGGAGAGAGGCGAGCGAGATGGGGTCATGGGAAGGTGGCGAGAGAGATAGTCATGTATTTTAAATACATGCGAATCACACTAGATACATGTGTATGTATGTATCTAGTGTGATTTGCATTTATCTAGGACTAGATACATAGGAGAGTGGCGAGCGAGATGGGAGGGATCGATGATTGAGATTTGTTATGTACCCAAGATACATGTGAATTCACTTGGATACATTGTATCTAGAATAAATTACACCAAATTTCGATTCTATGCATCCCTAGATATATCCGTACATCTGGATATATCCAAAATCTGATAAAATTCGTAATATTGTAAACTAAAATGTATCTTAGTAATTAACTCCTAAACTAGTGTGATTTAAGTAAGTCTTATCAATAAACTCATCCCTTTTTATCATGACCCCAATAATTAGCTTTGTAGTTTCTATCTCACTTTGACCAAGTACACACACAGTCCGGCAACATTCCCCTGATTAGTAAATGTTGAGAAGGAAATAACAACACAAAATCCACTTTTTTCACAAACAAATTAAATTATTGTTTCTTGTATGTCCTATAAATATACATGATCTCAACAAAGTATTAGACACTACTTAATAAGCTTAATTAAAATCAATTACATTTAGTTCAATTAATCATGGCCAAGGCTAGCAATAATTCCTTGAACTTAGCCTTAGTCCTTACTTTTCTACTCATTTTGAGTACTCCATCTCTGGGACGACGAATTCTCAGTATGAACATTTATTTCATTGCATAAAATTTTACTACTTGTTACATAAATGCCATTTTCTTCATCTCTAAACTCACATTCCATTTTTTTTTTCGTTTGTTTTTTTGTTTGCTCCAGGATCTAATAACGCGACGTCTCAAGCCATTCCAAGTTGTACGGTCATTTATAATGTAGATACTGGCGATACTTGTGACAGTATTATCAAGTCTTTCGAAGCAGAGAAATTCAGTTCTTTGAATCCGAACCTTAACTGTGACAATCTTTTTGTGGGTGAATATGTATGTCTCAATGGCACCTTATCTACTTGAGGATATGGACATGAATCAATATATTGTACTAGATTATAATTAAGTGTATGCATCTCTTAGATGCAAATTAAATCTCTACTATATATTTTACTTATCCATGGTGAAACCAAGAAACTTACTTGGTTATGTTGTACTATCAAATATCAAGTGATATTGTTTGTCTTTTATTGATGTTATATGACTTATATTGTGTTTATTGATCACTACCCAAAATAATTTATTTATTGCGTCTCACGTTGCTAAGTCAAGAAAAAAAACTAGGTGTTGTCTGTAAGTACATCTGATCAGTTCAAACTGAAAAATAATACTCCTTGAAAAGTCGAAAAATATTTAACTACAAAATTTACTATGTGTCCTTAAAAAAATTTAATACGTTATAGTATCCAAGGTATTAGATTATACAGCCGATTCACCCGTCACAGAATTAGTAGTACCTCAAACACCTACGAATTCGTCAATTTATTTGTGTAAGAAATATGCGAAAGAAGATCCAAAAATTTAACGAGTACTGAAAAGGTATCTATCAGTTATCACACAGAAACTCGAGTTTTTATTTGAAAAAAATATGCAGAAGAAGATAAAAAAAAATTCTATGAGTTTTGTGACGAGTATGACTGTTCAAGTGAATTTTAAATTAATTTTTCCCGGTAATAATATTAGAAAATGAAAGAAATCAAAATTCAAATCCGCAGTTGAGTGAAGATAACGGTGTGAAAGGAGATTATCTTCTCAACTCTTGTGCTTCTTTCAAATCCAAAGATTGATTTTTGTAAAAATAGTTTACGCGAGAAATAAAAATTATCCTTTTTATTCTTTGTTTGACCCTATTCATTATTATTATTTAAAAGATAATGATAAGTTATTATATTTCAAAATAATTATTTTTAAATTCCTTTATTTTATTCTTAACGAAAAGCTTTTAAAGTCATAGTAATATGTACAAGGACCATCAATTTTAAAAATAGTTATTTTTCTCAGATTTTGTGTAGTCATTTTATACCAGAGAAGTTGTAGGTAGTATTACACTTGGTAAAAAAATTCACACTCAAATTTTCAAAAACTTTAAAACAATTTCTTGAAAAATTAAGTTTTTGGGCAAGGAAGAATAAGAGGACCAGGTCCTTTGTTTACAGATTCGAGTCAGTATGGGTGGGTCAACTGGGTGGTTATAGGAGAGTGTCCATAAATAAAGCGGAGTCGAGATTATAAGTTTGAGGATTCTAAATTTTAGGACAAAGAATAACAATATTACAAAACATGCTTCCTATTTAAAGGTAGGTAAATATGAGCCAAGAAATAATGATAGAGACATTAACGGATTCATCAATAAGTTAACTGAGGGCAATAGTGATGAACCAAATCAAATAGGTTGAAGATGTTTTTAGCCCCCTTTTCATATTATTAATAAAATACCACTAAACACTTTGTTTTGATATTAATTCGTTTAAAATAATGTCTTTTCTTTTGAAAATGTATTTACATTTTTCTAACATACTTTAGGGGTTTATTGTCGTTATTTTCTGAGTTTAATAAGCGCAAATCTTTATTAGGAGTACTTTTTAAAAATTCTTTTCTACACATAAAAATGAAATGAAATGATTGAAGTAGATAAAATTAAGTGATATCAAAATTAAGTAGATGTTGTAAGATGAAAAACTTTTTTCACAAATTGATTAAAAGATTCCCCATAAACGGCATTCAATAGGAGAAAGAGTCTAATGTTTATATCCTTTTGTCCATACCAAAAATAATTAAGTCACTCTTAGCTTAAGCTTACTCTTCATCAACAATTATTTTTAACTTCCAAGCATAAAAACTTAAATTTGAACAGGTACATTCGGCAAAATTAGCATGCTTCATAAATGCTGATAATGAAAGTACAAACATAAAATACATTAATGTATAAACATAAAATACACAATTATTTTTCTAACAAATGAGATTCTTATTCTACCTTATATCATCATATATGGACTATAAATACACAATCAAACACAACATTATTCACTCAAGAACTTTAATTTATAAGTAAATTAGAATTAATCACAAGTAAAATTTTGTTTATTCAATCATGGTTAAGGCAAACAATTATCCCATCAATTACTTAATTTTAGTCCTCTCTTTTCTTCTCATTCTAACTTCATACCAAGGACTTGCAGGTATATATAATTTTCGTTTAATTTCCATTTTTTTATAAATTATTTTTCTTATCTTTATAGCTTACATTATATTTTTTTCAGTGTTTTTCAAGGGAACAAATATTGAAAATCCAGATTGTAAAAGGATTTATGCAGCACAAGCTGGTGATACTTGTGAGAGTCTT